GATAGAACGGCCGTCGGCCAAAGTCCTACATAGCCAACGGCTGATACAGGACTATAATGGAATAATAATAATACTGGAGAGTTAACCCCTTCTCCCTCCCAAAAAATACTTTCTCATTCTTTTGGGATCCTGTGGAGTCATAGAGAGGCGGTAGGTAGATCATGCCTCCAGGTGTCGATTGGCATGTATTCCAGCTTAATAAAAGCAAAGCCGCCACTGTGTCGAACGTCGCACAAGTGAACGATAGCTAATGGACTTATGCTGTCAAGGAGAGGGCACCTAGGAAGCGAGAAGTATTCGAGTGTGGTGCAGTAGCGTGAAGACTGGCGGTAGCGTAACTCAATATTGGGGCAAAGCCAAAACTTGGGGAGAGTTCAGCGCTGACTGGTGAAGATGAATAGTTGGGAATGTCGGTTATGGACGTACTAGACGTGGAGACTTGGAGACTTCTTATTCTAAATTAAGCTGCGGAAACGCTCAGTGCCATAATTGTGATGCTGCTTACCATATAAAACTGGTTGCAACCAGCGATCATATGATGCAAAAAGAATCTAACACTACTCTTTCTCAGCCAAGGAAAAAAAACTACACGAAGATGATCTCCTCATTATTACTAATTTTCATTGTCTCAGGAAAAACTATGTGATAGTGGACCACTGTCCGCGATAGACATTGTCTTCTTCGCTTGCAGCACGTTCGGCATCCTCGTCTACGCTGCTGTGCCCCGTTTCATATAAAATTAGCGCGCTACCTGAAGCCTGGAAGGTAGCACGGACAGTCGGCATAGCCAAGACTTGGTGCTCGCCGTCAAGATCCCTCTCTGCACATACGAGTAGTACAGTGTCGTCTTGTGTTGACCTCTCGTCCATAATGGCAAAAACGTCGGTCATGATTTTCGACCCCGTGTCCTCGCGAAGCTTCAAGAGCAGTTGGTGACATTCTTGAGGCGTCTTTCCGATAAATGGAGAGTTTGGGTTGCTTCCGTGCTCCATTGGTGCCTCTGATGCCTTGTCGTAATAGTCGTCAATGCTGTCCACGAAAACAAGTCTCCAATTGTCCGCATCGACGCCGTTATCCTCAATGAAGCGATCCATGACCTGCAGCCCTCGCTAGAGGTTAGTATGGAGCCAAGGCCAGGGAGTGGGTAGAGGGAGGATAGACGCAACTGACCTCTTTGGGTAGCGGAGCGGCGCATACTACAGGGAACAAGAGACCTCCCATCTTTCCAAGTTTAGGTGAGTTTGGAATAGTAGGAACCGGGTAACAGCCAGGAAGAAAGAATTTAAGAGGTTCTCTCGATAATCCGGTGTTGTTAATATCCAACGTGACAGACAGAATAGTTGTACAAGATCAAAAGTACCAAACAGGACAGGATAGCAGTGCGACGTCAGTGGCTTTTGAGGCGTGCAGCGTCCCCTGCCCGTTTCGGCTAACGCGGTTGCCTGATTACGCCGTGCCCCTCGCCCGCGGACCAAACATAGCTAGATCTGCTTTCTCATCTCTTCATTGAGCTTCTTGCTGCTGCTGGGGGCCTAGTGTATATTGACAATTGGTTTAGCAAACATGGCTTAGCGGGGCTATATCCATCAGGTGGTGATGCGCTGTAGTGACGATCAGCAGGGTTCGTGCGCACCTGTTAAGCAACAGTATCTGCCTCACCACGAGGGCCTAAGGACATTCTTGAAAGCAAGCACATATGACCATGATGAAAATATGTACTGTTCCATGCTTTGTAACGATAACCATCGTTATTGTACCTTTTCACAAAGTATGGCGACGTGATATTGGCCGGAGGCCTTTACAGAAGAATCCAGAAATAATGCTTGGATACAAGTTAACTTGCCTCACAAACGAGTTGGGTACCTAAGCGGAATGGCCACTGAGTTTTCCGTTAAAAAAAGTTCTCGCATCTTACTCGGGTGATATCCGATCAATCAATGAAGGAAATTCACGTAAAGTTTATTAGAATACTTCTCCCCCTGAATTCTATATGCCGTGTTGGTATTCTCGCTGCGGGTCCGATCATGATTGGCCAGGCCTTCTAGTCTCACATTCCCCAAATGATGCTGACCGGTTCAGTCCAAATTGCACAATCTTGTTGTCTTCCAGCCACACGTTCAACCTTTTAGACGTTTGCAAACCTTGCGGATAAAGGCACAGCAAAGCTTCACGGCAGGCCCGTCAATAACCCATAGCACATCAGCAAATATACTTTGCTTTACGTCCTTCGTCCTGCATATCAAGCGACCACCCTTCATCTTGCGTGCTTGGGCTTAGTCCATTAATCCTACATACTCCACTTTACATACTTTGTGCTCAATATTTCACCCCTACCCTATCACTCTGCAGGAATGCATCCAAATCGGGTTTTTGTAGTTACGCAATGACTAGACAACAATCGGTTCGGGAGAGGCAATACACAATATGAACTTATTGTTGTTAATCAAAAGTTCTTCCACAGCGTGGCAAAATAAAAGTTAGCTCAACAAACGTTCCAATCCAAGATAAGCAGTCAGTAACGCAAAAACGCTAGGTAGTGTACATACAGCGTATGTGCATGTACCTTATAAATAATTTTCAAGTACCCGCATACCCTATCACTCCGAATCGACGATGCGTTCGTTGGTTGCATATCCATACCTGTAACGATGAAAACCAATATCTCACCTTTCTTGGCTCGGAGCCACTAGTAGTCCACTTTGAACACTACTAGGTTACTGCTGACTATAAGAGGAAGGGCCGGGCTTGCTTGTCACTTTCCTCTCCTTCTCTCTTTATTCCAAGACATCTCTCTCCACGTTCTTCATCAACCGTGTCTGGCCAGTTTCTTAGCCTGACTAAACTGAAACTATCCAACATGCGCGCTTTCACATTGCTTAGTCTTGCTCCATTTGTACTTGGGCAGCAGTATCTGTTGAACCTGGATTGCACCGATTATCCAGGGCCTTGCAACAATGACTGCTACGCGGCGTATGTCGCCAACAAGCCGTTGGTACGAAAGAACCACCTACCTCAGGAGGAAATTTGAGCGCTGACTCCTGCTTTCAGATCCTTAACTACAATGGCCCTGATGGCCAAGCTGCCGCACGCCGGAGAGCGGCTGGTTGCGTTTCCTCTTCCCCATGTACCAATGGCAAGATGGCAACGCCAAATACTGATGAGACCTCCTGTGACGAATATCCTTACGCGTCCGTTGTTGAAGGCGGTAGCGGAGCAATTCTTCGGTGCACCCAGCTAAGTGAGAACACGGCAGAGGGTACGGCACTGAGTGGATTTTTCAGTTCCGTCTGTGGCAATCAACCCTGCACTTTCATGATTACCTTTGGAAATCCAGGCGGTGGTCAAACGTAAGATTTCTTGACCCTCCCCCCGCCATTCCCCACAGTCTCTTCGCTGTTGTTGTTTTATTGCTAACGAATATGCAGCCCTTACTGTCTTGACGGTGGTGGTGCGAACGATGGGTTCGAGTACTCGTACCAGGGCAACGGAAATTATCAACTTGCTAACAGAGGTGGGTGCATATGACATCTATATTTCTTTCAAATCATCGTTGACACATGTTGCAGACTTAAACGCTACCGAGGACGGTGGGTGGGGGCTACACGAGCCAGACCCAGCCGACTATTTCCCTCCTCATCTCCGCCGCGAATTTCTCTTGGCGGATGGGAGCCGCACTATAGTCTCGTCGCGCAACCTAACTGCCTCTTACGACGATGCAATCTTCTATTCCGTGCGCAACGGCACAGTGTTTCAAACTCATGTAGTCAAGGAATTACTCCACTTCGAGAAACGCCTCGAATTGCAAGACCCGGCCTTGAGGGACTCTAGTTTGTAATGGGCTAAGGCCCCCTTAGTAAGATCCTCAGTGAGACCTCGGCAGGTTGCCTGTAAAAATGACACTGAGATCAACAAGAGAACATGTCTGTCCAATCCGTACTTAGATATAAGCTCTCTTATAGATAACTTTATAACTCTCCATCGAATACAACCTTCTTTTACCCGTGCATCTGCTCCCCGCATGAAAAACATCTACTCCAAAGCCAGTGCTGTGATTTTATGGCTCGGTGAATCACTAGCAATCAAGAACATAATAGGCTACCAACTCGCTTTCAGCACAAATACATCATTAGGTTAGAATCGTAGCGTCAAAATTTTACTAAGTAGTTTCTTTAGCGGTTAATCCTCAGTGCAATGTAGAGAAACTCTAAACTAATACTGTAAGGTAGCGAGGTCTCGATGGGTTTGCCGGGCTATGCTACTAAGAATATGTACTAAGTTAAGTGAGTAAGAGGTAGAAAACTGAGAGTATAAAACATGCCTAGCATGCGTAATTACTAAATCATTCTCTATGCCTTTTCTGTATCTGCACACCGGGGCGTAAGCGCTCCGACTAGCCTTCGCCACTTGTTTCCAAATTTATTTTAAGTATGACTTGGAAGCATTTATATTAGCTGATGGATTAAATTTCTCGCTATATTGATATTAAACTTGTTAAATGTATGAAACGTTAAAGGTGAAGGAAAGACTTATGGGGTGGCTAGTACCTAGCCACCTAATATTTTCACCTAT